GGGGTAAGAAAAGATATGCTATACTGACACTAAGCATGAGAAGGCTAGGGTGGTTGGGAGACCTCGGTGGCTTTGTTGGTTAAGCCTCTGGCTTCCACTGGGCTCATGATCTCAGGGTCCTGGGATCGAGCCCCGAGTCGGGCTCTGCATTCAGTGTGGGGTCTGCTTGAGATTCTCTCTCTGCCCCTATCCTGACTCACATTCTTCCCCTCTCCTCTCTCAAATACATAAATAAGTCTTAAAAAGGAAAGAAAGAAAGCTGGAGTGGCTGTATTAATATCAAATAAAGGTAACTTCAGAGCAGACATGTTACCAGGAATAAAGAGAGACATTATATAATGACGAAGGGATCAATTCATCAAGACAACATAAAAACCCTAAACATTTATGCCCCTAATTACAGAGCTTTGAAATTCATGAACTAAAAACCGTTAGAACTGAAAAGATTTCTGCACAATTACAGGTGGCGATTTCAACACCCCTCTCTCAATAACTGACAGAGTGAGCAGACAGAAGATCGGTGGGGAGAGAGAAGCCTAAAGTAACACTAGCAGCCTCCAGGCCCTAATTGCTGTTTATGGCCCACGGCACCCACCCATGGCACAGACAGCGTTTACCAGGACAGACCCTACGCTGAGCTACAGAACAAGTCTCCATGCATTTCAAAGGAAGAAAATCCTACGGAGAATGTTCTGACCACAGTGGAACTAAACAAGAAATCAATAATACAAAGATCTCTGGAAAATCCCCAAATCCTGGCTCTCTCACTGGCTCGCCATGTGACCTTGGACTCCTCTGCCGAGCAAGGACAAGAGCCGGCTGCCCCTAACAGGGCTGTTGTCAGAGGATGGGCCGCATGGGGCACGGAGCCATGGGAGGGGATGCGCTCACGGCCTTGGGGACTCGGGAGAAGAGGCACCTGCTGACCTCACCACGGAGCCCACTTGTCATACCCTGACCCTGTCTGTCCTCCTGCCTGGCAGGTGAGAGTGGCCAGGCTGCCTGAGATGGTATAGATCTGTGGGGCAGGAAGACAGGGGGGAAGCTGGGAGGGCCTCCCAGACCAGCACCTCCCCCAGCGTTTAATCATTGAGAGGGCAGCTACCCTTTGCTGAGCTCACAAGCACAGTGCCGAGTTAGGCCCTGGGGTGGGGGTGGAGTGGAGGACAGAGGGATGACTAACACAGCCCCCCAGCGAACCCGACTCACAAAGACTCAGGGTCTGACACAGGTCTCTGGAAACCAAGCCTCTTCAAAGCTACCCCAAGGGCCGATCTCATTGAGTCAAGACAAAACTACTCAGTGCTGGGTACACAGCAGGGACCACCTCGACCCCAAGGGTACAGTGTGGCTGACTGGTGGTGGTGACTGTGGGGGTGGGGTGAGGACACTCACGGGGACAGAGCAAGGGGACACAGACAGGGGTCACCCTGGTAGCTCCTGGTGTCGGTGGGTGGGGGCAGGTGTCCGGCGACGCAGCCCAGTCTAAGTAACAGGGAAAATCTGGTCCATCACTCTCTGAGCCTATCTCCTTGGCACATACAAACCAACCATGTTTTTGCATGATTCCAACAGAAACCGAAGTTTCTAGAAACGCATCTGTTGTTCAGACTGAGGAACAACTGGATATTGTGTTTGAAACTTTGCCAAGAACCCTTCACCGTTTGGAACTTGGGTCTCTGGCAGCGGCCCTGCTCACGGTTTCTGCAGCACCAAACCGAGACTCTTGGAGAAGCTGGACTGGGAAATCGCCACGCTCAGGGTGGTTCGTATTAGTTCAAACATACTCACTGACCAACTATTTTAAAGTGTCAAGTCTCAGGTGTTGACACAACTCTATTAAATGGTCTCACTTCTCGTCATTCCTGAGGTACCCGTTAGAAGTCGGTGTGGCCGCCTGACTCCTGCTTTCTGTCCCGGGAGTCCCCGCCCGAACACTGATGCATTGCTGTTGTGCTATCCTACCATGGATCATGTCCATTTCTCTCCCTTGTATTGCAGTCAGGACGTGTTATGGATTTGTTTTAAATCATGTGTTGGGGGCGCCGGGGTGGCTCAGTGGGTAAAGCCTCTGCCTTCGGCTCAGGTCATGATCTCAGGGTCCAGAGATCGGCCCGCATCTCTGCTCAGCAGGGAGTCTGCTTCTCCCCCTCTCTCTCTGCCTGCCTCTCTGTCTACTTGTGATCTGACTGTCAAGTAAATAAAATCTTAAAAAAAAAAAATCATGTGTAGGCAAGTGCTTAAGTACATATATTACCCTTGAATTTCATCAGGGTGGGAAAGCAGATGTTAGAAAATATTTGTCATAAAACGAAGGTGCTGGGTCTGCAGGTGCTGCCTGCACTGGTGTGGAGGGAGGAGCTCGCGTGAGTGAGGGCAAAGGGCATTCACCCCCTGGTGCAATGAAACAAAGGGTCCACGGCCACAAGAGCCTGGAGGTGAGGAGTTTCTAGAAGGCGGGTAGCTAATAACGTATACTGGACGCATCCATAATGGGGTCCTGTGTGGCCCTGGTGGAGCTGGGGTTAGGGAGCCAGGCTGTGGACTAAATCTGAGGTTGCTGGGAGGGCTCTGAGGACAGGACACCCTGAGGAGGAGTTGAGGACAATGGTCAAAGTGTGGTGGCCTAGGAGCCTACCTGAGGTGGACGGACCAGAGGGCAGGCAGGGCTCACAGAGCAGGAAAGAGGGAGGTACAAGGACTACATTGCAAGACTGGGGCGGGGGGAGGGGGGGCAGGGGAGCGGGGAGGGCAGGGAGGGCGGGGCTGCGGCCAGTCAGGCAGAACCTCAAAGGCACTGACTTGGAGCTTGGAATGGGGCCATCCTGAATGAAGTGGCCCGCTGTAGGAGGTTGTGGCCCCAACGGACCCCGAAGATGGAGGGCCCGGGAGTCGGGTTAGAGCCCCGCTGGCCACCAAGTCCCCTAGGCATTGGACTGCTGCGTCATGGTGCTGGGGTCCCAGTCAGAGATTAAGAAACATCTGTTGAGACATCCACTGACCCAGTGACCGAGCGAATGTGTGGAAGGACTGGGGGTGAAGACGGGAGTGAGCTCGGGGTCCAGGTCTCCAGTGGGGAGGGGGAGGGGTGATGGTGATGGTACGGGCAGAGAACGCCTGGCTGGGGAAGGGGCCCCTGAGCGAGGGGCAGAAGGAACGCCCTGCAGAGAGGAGTTGGCCACTGACCCCAGGCCTCGGCCAGATTTGTCCCAGCTGCCGTTGCCTCCTCTAGCCTGTCTAGAATGCTCCTCCCTCTCCTGGGCGTGGACGCCTCTGTTTTCACCTTTAGGACTCAGCCAAGATGGGACCTCCTCAAGGAGGCTTCCCTGAGCACCCACATTCCCTGTTGTTGCATGTGCCCTTTGCTTTAACAGCAAGGTCTGTGTGCATCTGACACACCGTTATACTGACGACCTCAGTAAGCTGCAGCCGTGGTAGGTGGTGGGCAGGAGGACCTCCACCCCCAGAGATGTGTCCATCCAAAGCCCTGCAACTCGTGAGTATGTCCCGCTATGGGGTAAAAGGGCCTTTGCAGATATGATGAAGTTAGGGAATTTGAGATGGGGTGATTATCCCGGATTATTCGGGTGGGCCCGGTGGTATCTCAGGACTCCTTATGTATGCAAGGAGGAGGTGAGAGCCAGAGAAAGTGGCTACAAAACAAGGAATGCAGGTGGCTTCTGGATGCTAGAAGAGTCAGGCAAACAGAACCTCCCCTAGAGCCTCCAAGAGGAGCGAGCGCTGCCCGCACCTGGACTCGAGCCCAGCGAGATTTCTGCTTTCTGACCTCCAGACCCATAAGAGAATACATTTATATGGCTTTATGCCACTAAACCTGTCTTACTTGTTGCAGCAGCAATAGGAAACTAGCACAGGGTCCATAACGCTTGGAAGGATGCCAGTCCCGAGATGTTAAAAAAAATGTCATTGAGACTCCAAAGGTGCAAAGCCAGTGGGCCAAGCGACCTGCCAACGACTTGCTCTATGGCAGTAAGTCCTAGGGGGGAGGGCACAGTCTGACACCCACTCAGCGTTAGCCTTGAGTGGGCTTTGAATGAGACGCGGTCTTGGGGCTTTGTTTAGTCCTGGGATCAAACAGGACGTTCCTGGGTTTATTTGTTTAGCTCCTTCTTCTCGGCTCCTCTGCCTCTGAGGCCAGATTCTTCACCTGAGTGCCTGACACCAGGAGGGCCTCTTGAAGCATTTGCTGCCTGGCTGTCTAGGCGTGAATTCTCGGGGATGGGGAGGAGACGAGGAAGAAATGCTCAGCAAGAAGGGGCCTGGGGAGCAGGGCAGGGCGTGGGCGGCGCTGGAGCGAGGGGCCCTGGGGAGTGCCTGGTCTCAGGGCTTAGACGCATGAACCCGGGAGAATGCCGGCTCATCTAGCGTGACCACAGCCCATGAATTTTCAACAAGAAGGAGAAATCTGGATTCCTGAGTGAATCTGCCCCATTTTAAAATGCTAATTCAAATATTTAAAAAGTGGTGGCCCACACTGACATGCATTGACCATGTCTGCTCTCCAACATGTGGCTTCTTGGAGCTCATCACGGGGATAAAGTAAGCTCTGTCCACGTTACAGGGGTCCCCAAGGGACTTTGAGGGCACAGGCACCCCTGGATAGTGAAGGCTGCCCCAGGTCTCCGTGACCACCAGGGCATGGGCGAGCCATCAACAGCTGGGCCAGCAACAGCCGGGCTTATGCGGTTCCAAATATAATTCTTATGTCGGAAGAAGCACTTCTGCATAGCATCCCGCTTAGTCCTTACAACCTGACATGTAGGCATCTCTATCCCCATTTTTCAGATGAGGACACTGAGGCGTGGAGAGGGGATGTGGCCTCACATCCCAAGGTCACACAGCTAGCAGGGGGCAGAGCTGGGGCTCAGCTCTCCCCACCCCATTCCCTGTCACGCAGCTGGTGGAGGGGGACCGGAATCCACCCAGGCCTCAGAAGGGACCCTCCCCACCCAGGGCAGGACAGACAGAAGGCTGCTCACCAGACTCCACTGACACAGCGCGTGGACAGCGCCCGAGGCATGATCTCCGAGCCCTGCTGCATGAAGCCCCCCACGGGGAACCAGAGGCTGTTGCCCAGTGTGTACTGGTTCTCCAGGATGTGAGGGCGTGCCCGCAGGCATGGGTGGGGGTTATACCACTCGTAGGGACTCAGCCTGTGGAGAGACATGGGAGTGAGGCATGGATGGAGCAAGGTAGAAAGGAAATACACACAAAGAAACACAGAGGCACATAGACACACAGAAGAGGCAGCAAGAGATGCACAGACAGGTGCAGAGAGAGAAACAGAGGAAGAAAGGGAGAGAATGGGAAGGGGATAGGCCCAGAGAGAGAACAGCAGAGTAAAATCAGAGCCAGAAGGTGGGATAGGGCACGCAGACAGAGAGAGAGGGAGAAAGGAGGCCCGGGAGTCTGAGGCCCAGCACGGGATATCCAGGTCAGTCACAGACACCCCAGCCCAGGGCTCTTCCTAGGTAGTAGGTGGTGGACTCACCTGGCGGCCAGGAACAGGACGCAGCTGACAGCCAGGTAGGCAAGAAGCATGAAGAGCCACACAGCAGGGGAGAAGGGGTCCAGGAAGGAGAAGTAGCCAGGCTTGCGGCCCTGCAGGGAGAGGGCGTGAGGCCTGGAGCCTCCCCGACCCGAGTGCGTTCCTCTGCCCCAGCCCTGCCAGGTGTCCATGAGCCCAAGTGGCCCCTCAGGGTCCAGCCCTCAGCCTCTGCTTCCCTTGGGGGCACAGGCGTCAGCTCCACTGCCAGCCCCCTGCCCTACAGCCTCCACCTGTTTGGGGAGCCATACCATGTGCACTCGGTAGAGGATGCTGATCCCCAGGGTCATGAAGGGTTTGGAGAAGTCGATGACCTTCTCCCGCTCCGCTGTGATGGTGAATGCAGCCACAGCCAGGTCTGCCTTCTGCTGGAGGGGAAGCAAGGCGGGGGCAGCGGGGTGGGCCAGGGAGACAGACGGGCAGTTAGGGAGATACGCACAGAGAGAGTTCCTGAGAGGCTAGCAAAGAGAAGGGAGAGGGACCAAAGGGGCCAGGAGCACGCACTCGCTCCAGAACAGCATCTGGGGCCCAGAATTGGACCCCTGTCACCTCACGTCTCTGGGACAGGCTCCTGCGGCCCCTTCCCTGCCCAGCCGCCCCTCTTCATCCTGTCAAGGTCACTGTGAAGGCCCTGCCTTAAAAAACCGCCACAGACCTGCTTAGCTCCCACATCCCCCGTCACCAGGTCCTGGGGAGAATGTGACATGGGCACTGAGATCCCAGGACACTGACCCACTCAGGTTTCTCTTCAGGCCTTGGTTTCCTCTTCTGTCTCTACGGCTCACGACATGGAACATTCACTACGCGCTGACTTTGCACCAGGGTCCACGCTAGGTAACACTTTCTATGGATTACCTTGAGTCCTCCTTCCAACATCTCCTGGAAGGCCACTATTAGCCCCATTTTACAGATGGAGAAACTGAGTCTCAGAGAGGCAAAGACACTCGTCAGTAAAGGCAGCAGCTGGGGGACCTTAACACAGAGATGGGACCTCAACTCTCCCGCCATCGGCTGGCACCGGTGACCTACATGTGTGCATCAAGGCACCCCTAAGACAGGACCGGCACCCAGCTCAACCAACAGAATGACCTCAGGCGGAGCTGCAAATGGTCTCAAGGCGGGGAGGAGTGCCTGGGATCCAGGTCTGAGGTGGCAAGGGAGGGGAGCCAGAGGGGTGGGACAGAGAGAAGGGCTCACGTTAGCGTCTGGTGGGCATACCCAGAATCCCTCATCCAGAAGGATCATTTCGCTCTAGCTCAAGGAGACTTAGCTGGCCTTTAGCTGTGGGCTGGACAGAAGACTGGGAAAAAGCCAGCACTTCGCACACCTTTCCCACTGCATTTGGCACACATGAGCACTGTGTCGGGTCATGCGTATGCCACCACTGATGTGTACACACCACGCCACATCCACACACACAGGCTGAGACACAGGCTGGCCCAGCGATGTACTAGCAGCATGGGTGCAGGCAGACAGACTCATGCCCTCGACACAGCGTAGGGAGCAGTGGAGACACACAGGGGAGGGGTGTTCCCTCAAGGCACACATGGCCCTCACATGTGTACATACATGACAGAGCGGGCAGGGTAGGGCGCTGGAAAGGGCCCGGTGTGGGAATGGGGAGCGCCGGCTCTGCCCTGGGTTCTCTGGGGGACCTCGGGCAGGGGCTTCCATGTCTCTGGGCCTCAGTTTGCTCATCTGCAAAATAGGGACGGGGTTGGGTGAGATGTCTCACACAGCACTCCCGGTCCCAGCATCGGGACCCGGCTCCCGGGACACCCCTTCCAGGCATATAGACTAACCCCCATGCCTCCACTGGACCCCAGAATTAACTCCAAATTCAAGCAGAGACCACCCACAGGGCTGAAATAAGAGTAGAGGGCCTGGCTCACTGGCTCAGGGGGACACACTCTCACAGAAGCAGCTGACACACAGAGCACATGAGGTAACACAGGCGTGGATGCAAGTGGGGCCCAGGTCAAACAGCTACCATGGGGTGAGTGACGTGGCTCCAGCCCCAGAGCAGAATCCAGAGGTGGCAAACTGCAGTAGGGGCCCAAAACACAGCTGGATCGGGGGGGGGGGGGGGGGTTGCATACCCTTGGGAATTCCCAGAGGGTGAGAGTAAGGAGCTTCTTGCCTCTTCTTACACACTCGCCACTCTTATGACTAACACGTGAGCTGCCAGGAATGATGACAGCTAATACAGGAATACTATGACTTTGATGCACCCTCAGGAGGTGCACCCCGGGAAGGCCCTTCCTAGGGGCCCGAGTCTCCCCTTCAGAAAGCAGGAGGCAGCAGCTTTGCAGACGGGGCTCAGGAGGGGGCTGTTGGACCCTAGGCCAGGCTCCAGGGGCCCTCTTCCTCCCCAAAGCGCTCCCAATGCCCTTCTGCTCCATCCCTTGCTCTGCTCCCTGGCCTCCTCACCCACTCTGGACAGCTCATTTCAGGCCAACACCTAGGCCAAACCGCTTCTTCCCTTTCCCGAATTTTCTACCTCTCCTCCAGCAGCAAGGGCAGAGACTCTACTGCTAAAACACACCTCAGATCTGTCCACTCCTGTCCATCCCCCCCGTCCAGGCCCTGACCATCAGAGTTGCTCTCCTCACAACCACACCAGCCACCTCACCAGGCACCCAACCATCACTCAGAACCCCATAGTCCAAATGGAAGGTCCCCTTCTTGAAAGCCCTGGGTGGCTTTGCACTGCCACCTGCAAAAAATCCCTTTTGTGGCCAAGAGGCCCTGGTGATCTGAAACTCACCACCTGCTGGCTTCGCCTCACGCCCCTTTCCCCTCACCCACTGGGCTCCAGCCACAATGGCTGCCTTTTGCTCTTTGATACAGAAAGCTCATTCCTTACCTCAGGGCCTTTGCATGCGCTCCTCTGGAGCTCTGCCTCACCATTCAAGATTTAGCTCACATTTCCCTCCTTCAGCCCTCTCCACAGCAGCCTCCAGACCCCACTTACAGGGTCCTCTCTCTCATATTACCCATTACCCCGTTTTATATCCTACTTTGCACTACTGGAGATGACCCTGCCTGTTTGCTTATTCATGGACTAGCTTTCCTACTAAATTACCAGTTCCTTGCCTATCTGGTTAGAGGTACACCCCAGAACCTACACAGGGGTTCCCAACACTGCTGGATGTTGACCAAGCCTGGCCTCTCTGAGCGGCCCCCAGGGCTGCCCCCATTCCCCGCCATACTCCTGAGCCTCTCACCCCGTCTCACTCAGCTGCTTTCCAGCCTCCACCTCAGTGAACACTGCCTTTGCATGGAGCCCCCCACTCTGCACAGAACTGGATCCCACCCACCCCGACAGGGTTCCCTGAACCCTCCCTCCTCTGTGGCACCTTCTCTAGACCCTCCCAGGCTCAATGCCCTTGGATCTACCACAGCCTTTAGCTCAGTTTGGAAAACATGTTTGCATCTCTGCCTCCACAACGAAACCTGCAGAAGCAGGGCAGGCTGGAGGCACCGTGTCTGCCACAGGGAAGAACGAGGAATGTGCCCCCTTCTCCGGGGACCTCCAGAGTGACCCAGACAGACAACGCTCTCTTTCCCCATGCTTCACGGAAATTCGCCTGGGCCCAGAGGCTCACCCTCACACAGCACGCACCTCGTGGCCACTGTTTCAGGGCTCCCCTCGCCCAGAGTAGCTCACGTAGTCCCCAGAGCAGCCCTGTCGGGGACCATCCTTCCCATTTCGCACATGAAGAAATGGAAGCAGAGCGGAGGTAAGCTCCTGGCTTATAGCTGACCCCGTGGTGCAGAATTGGTCCCCCTCTCAGGGTTTCACCTGTCCACTGTCCCCACCCTCCATGGCCAGCGGCATTGGAGGTCAGGGTCCAGGTCCTGGGGAGCTCAGGAGATGGGTGCTTTGCATGTGACTAGAGGGAAAAAACGGGTCCTTGAAATTCTCGTCAACACACAGCCAGCAAACTCAGCCCCCACCCTGTCCCCGGGGTCATCCCAGGCAGAAGCCCCCACCCTCTCCCCAATATCGTCCTTGACATCTCTCTACCCCTCACTGCTTCTATCCTCAAGCTCTCCTGATTCTGCCACCAAACACTTCCGAAATCGATCGCTTCCTCCAACTTCTCGGCCCTGCTCCTGCCCCTATCACCATGTCTCAGGACTGGAAAGCTCAGCCAGCCGCCCAAGGGGCCCCAGAAACTACAGCCTCGGTCATAGAAGCCCTGCTTAAAGCTGGCAACAACTCCCACTCTCCTTACGCTGTCCCCCGTACTCCTCACCCAGCCCCCTGAGGCCCTGTGCCACCCGGCATCCACCCCCCTGCCACATAGTGAACGCGTGTGATCCCCCAACGTGATGGTGTTAGGAGGCGGGCCTTGGGAGGTGAGGAGGTCATGAGGACGGAAGCTCATGAACAGATTTAGTGCCCTTGTCCCATTCCATCCAGAAAGCAGAACCATCCTCCACCACATGCGGCACAGCAAGATGGCCGGGTGTGAACCAGGAAGAGGCCCCTCACCAGACACCAAATATGGCGGCACCGTGATCTTGGACTTCCTCCGTCTCCAGAACGGTGAGAAATAGATTCCTGTGGTTTAGCAACCCCCCCACCCAGTCTGCAGTATTCTGTTACAGGAGCACAAACAGGCTAAAACACCCACCACCTTGCCCTGCATCCCCTCCCCACTGCAGTCACTCTGCCCATTCTGCCTGTCCATACACTCATCTACCTACTTAACAAATACTTGGGAATACCCATCCCCGACCAAGCACGGTGCTAGCTTTGGGGATCCAGCAGTGAAGATGAACATGAAATGGCGGGTGGCGACAAGCGCTATGAAGAAAAATAAAGCAAGGCAAGGGGCTCGCGATTGCTGGAAGACACTAGTTTGGACACACTCCCTGCTGCAGGGAGGTCTGGAGGACGAACGTGAAGGAAGGGAAGGGGGCTGGGTTCTACTCCCAGGACAACACAGGACACCACATCGGAAGGTGTGAGCAGGGGGTGAGGTGATCTGGCCACCATGAGAACACACCACAGGGGCAAGAGTGAAAGCAGGGGTCTTGGGGACCAAACGAAGTCCATGGAAGTACTTGGGAGGGGGACAGCTGGGTCATGGTGGAAAGAAGTGGTCAGATTTGGACTTTGTTCCGAAGAGAGGACAGACACATCCTCAAACCCTGCAAACTCTGGTAAGGTCCTCTTAGAGCCTTTGGAACTCTCCTTCCACCTCCCCCTCCACACCCTAAATTTCCTAGTGGAGTCACTTATTTCTTACGGAAGATTTCCCTCCACAAGGGGACACTGACATCTAATCTCTGGAATGAAATCAGGAAAAATCCAAATGATGAGCCATCTGTAGAAACAATGGGGCGGAGGGGCACC